AGGCTCCTGCTCCCATTCCCTCTTGCCGGGAGACCTCCCCAGGAGGCAGCCTGTTCCAGTAGCCAGGGGCTTGGCCTGGATTGAATTTCAGATCCTGGTGCCACCTCTCCCCATCTTGAGTGGTCCCCGCTTAATCTCTCTGGGACTGCTCCTGCCCCTGTCTCATGGGGTTGGTGATGGTACCCACATCCTGAAGGGGAGAGGGGACGACTACTCCTGTGTGGAGCTGGTTAATGGGAAGGACAGCCACTCTGGGCACTGCCTCCCACACCCAGGGTCTGGGCCATTTCTTTCATTACCAGTTGTCTCCCCTGGAGACAGGAGGACCAGGGAGCAGAGATGCTCTCATCAGTAAAATCCCATGTGCAGGCCTGTTGTTGGTGCAGGGCAGCAGCTGTCCCTGTCTGGAGGAGCCTTAGAACGAGTCACCTGACATCTAGCAAGGGCTGGGAGGAGGTGCTTAGCTGGGGAGTGCTGTTTCCTTTGGGTGATATGGGGAGACCCAGTGGGAGGGGATGGGCCTCCCTCGTCCGTGGGAGAGGACGCAGAGCCCTACAGCAGATGTACTGGGGGTGGGAGGGCAGAAGGTGGGAGAGAACCAGGGAGAGTGAGGGCAGCTCTCACAGGGCTGGGGCAGGGGAGGGGGAAGTAGCCTGCCCCATCCTAGACCCCACTGGGAGGTCGAGCTTGCGTGTTTCTCGATGGATCTGCTCTGTGAGAGAGAAGAGTCCCAGTCTCCCAGCCTGGAATGACACAGCTTACCCTGAGAGGGGGAAGACTCAGGGTAGGGGAAGGTAGTGGGGAGAAGGGCCCCCCAGAGGGCTCCGAGGCATTGTCAGTGTCTTGATAGAAACTGGGGAGCTTCCCTAAGGAGGGAGGAGGACAGAGGAGGGGAGCCCAGCGGGGCAGGAGGAGAGTGGGATAGGCATGGGGTCCCAGGTGGCGGCAGAGGAGCCTCCTGGCTGGCGGGGGAGAGAATGCAGACGGACACTAGCACAGAGCGGGCAGTGCTCATGGGGAGCTTTGCCCAGGTGGGCAGGTTCAAGATCACAGCTTAAATCACAGCATCTTCAGTGGCAGTAACAGTGTCTGTGGAGAGGACAGCCTGCAGCAGCATGGCTAGCCCTTCCAGGAAGGAAAGATCCCACAGACTCCACCTCCAGTTCTCAGTGAACCCATGTGGGCTCTGTCCTGTGGGGGAGGGTCAGGGGTGTTAGCTCTGTTGGGGTGAGGCCTGGGTGCCAGCCATGCTCAGGGGACCAAATGAACTCAGGGGCTTCCTGGAGCCTACTCAGCAGGAGCTGGAGAGCCCACTACAGCCTTCGCTGAGTTCTTAGTTTGTGCCAAACACTGGACACATCTGGGCTCCTTAATTCCCCTGCCAAACCTATGGGCCCCATTCTACAGATAAAGAGGCTGGAGCTCAGACAGGTTAAGTTCTGTGCCCAAGGTCACACACAGACCCAGGCATCAAACTCAGCTTAGTTGGGCCCTAAAACCAGACTCCCAACCTGGTTACAGAGCTGTACCGCCAGGTCATCCAGGAGGGAGGGTGGTCAGTGCTCCCAGGGCCATCCCAGCAGGCTGTCTGGTGAGGCTGCTTGCAGGAGGGCCAGCCACAGAAGCTCTCCATCCAGAGACCTCGGTTCAGACTGGCAGAGGAGGGAGGAGGGTGATGGGCCCTCAGACCTGGGTCCCCCTAAAGATGGGCAC